TAGTAGTAGTAGTAGTCGTAGTCGTAGTCGTAGTCGTCGTCGTCGTCGTAGTAGTAGTAGTAGTGGAAAGAGTAATGATAGTGGTACACAATATCAACAGTAGTAACAATAACCGCAATACAAATATTGGCAATACCAACACCAATAGTAATAATGATAGCATGCCAGCTCTTGTGGACAAGCGAGACTGTTGAAACAAACATGGTCATGATATTAACTTTTCAACAGAACATGGGAAGATAGGTTTGATCAATTTGTACTGCAGTTTGAGACAGATAATTGCAGTCGCACTGCCACTATTCTTTGTCATCATTAAAGAAGATCATTTGTTTTTGCACAGGGCTGTGAGGACCAGTGGGCGGGGAGTTCACCTTGTGCTCGTGCCTAACATGTTGGGAGTGTAAGTGCCACCCATAGGACACCTTGTTCACCTTCTTTTCTGAAACTCGGCAGGCGCGAATCAACAGCTTGCTCCAGACTTCGAGGACAACAGTGATTTCGGCCTCATCGTGGAAGAGTCTGTACATGGTTGTGGCCTCAGAATGAGCCATAGCCTAAACTCCTTAAAGGGGGTTATATAGGGGGGCCATGTAGCGGAGTATGATAGGGGCTATTGAGGAGGCAGGGCGTTTAAAGTAGTAGTTGGGAGTCCTTGAGAAGGATCCTAAGTTTTGGGGGATGAAGGAGGATTCTAACCTTAGTCCATGCTCATACTAGATTGCTTAATTGTCAACACGCTGGTCCTCTACTGGGTGCCTAGCATACTCCCTAAACCCAAAATTCTTAATCATTAGAAGGGTTTAGGGTTTAGGGTTTAGATCCTTAATCATTAGAGCACTCGAGAATGGGATCATGTTTTGGACAGTCCTCCACATCTTAAGAATGCAATTTGCAGTTGCATGGTCAGTAGACAGCGGGTGCCTCAGCGTTTGTGGCCAGAGCATGATGCTGTCTGAGCCCATATGTCTGTACTGCAGACACGGGGTCCTCCGTTTGCCATCCAATAAGCTAGAATGCTAATTGCAGGGACTTGACCGGTACAAAACCCAAGTTATCCACAACGCTGAACCCATCTGTTGAAAATACGTGAAGCCTTGCATGACCCTCAAAAGAACTAGCTTGCCACTTTTTTCCAGGGTTTGGAGCGACATGGGGTGCATGGGGTCAGACAGAACGTTGTCCATCAACCGTATGCCAGGCCCGGAGACTTCCGAAGGTGAATTGGCGAGGCAGATTGACTTGGAGTGCTGGGTCTGCTAGAGGTTTCTTGTGGCAGATTGCAGAGCTCGAATGGTTCAAGGGATTTCGGGGTAGTGGTGTCTTCAACAGTTAAGAGCTTGAAACAGGGCCTGTATGCCGATGCGCGATAAGCATTATTTTTGACATGGGGGGAGTCACAGAGCTTGGACGGGATTTTGAATAGTGAGGGGACCTACAGCAATCACAAAAGGCCTTCACAAAAAAAAACATAAAGACTTGAGATGTTTTTTAGACACCTTGACGCGAATCCGAATTTCTGGTCACTAGCAGCTAGAGATTTCAAGTTCAGGTGAACTTGCGCAAAATGCGCATGCGTTCCCAACGGGATCATGCTTTCTGATAAGAACTTCTGTTAGAGCTTTTTGATCCCTACCTTCTTTCCTAATCTTCACCAACTAGCAGCTGGAACCAGCCCTGCCGAACGATGAACACGCCCTACAAGGGGTCTAGTTCTGAGAAGCCGTGAAAAGTAATGTTCCCCCACTCTACATCCCTCATCTCTGAACCTCTAGCCCCGAAACCGTAAACTCCACAGTTCCACCAAATCCTAGGCATAGACAAGCCCAAGCTATAGCCAAGCACGATCCTAATGATGGTTAACCTCAGCTCCATATTTTGCTTACCTTGCCCCTAAAGTCTAGATCCATGTTATCATCCCAGGTTCCATTTGATTTTCCATGTTTTCTCCACTCCCTACCTTAAGCCCCTAAGCCTTAAAGCCTAAACCTAAACCCTAAGCCCTACACCTCGAACCTTAAACCCTAGACGGGCTATTGCCTAAACTCCTTCAAGGGGGTTATACAGGGGACTATATAGGGGAGTACTAGAGGGGGTTAAAGGGGATACTAGAGGCATATATAGAGGAGTATAGAGGAGTACTATAGGGGTCAAGGGGGATACTAGGGAACAATTTTGGCGAGTATAAAAGGGATACTAGGAGTTTAGACTGCAGCTCATATACCTGCGCAGAAGTAAGGGGACCTTTGTATCATGAGGCGCATGGAAGCCTCAGAGCAACCTGTCGCGAAAGAATTCGTGGCTGGGCGCCCAGCACTGCACTGACTTACCTGGTTAGTAATGGAAAAGAACATGGAAGCGACTGCATGGTTGCGGGTTTTCTAGGGACTACCATACGAGTTTATTCTTGCATTCCTTACTAACCAGTGGTAACATGATAGATATGGCTTGAAGGCTTATAGAGACTGTAAAGGTTACAAAGTGTTTACAGAAGGATGATACATAGAGTACAGCCAGTATATAAGGATTATAGGGATTGCTGAACTCCCTCGGATTAACCTGGAACCCCCATATAGTCCCGGTTTCAAAAGGACAGGGATCTTGATATGGCTCCTTTTAGCGTGTCATGTTTAACCGGGAGAACCTGTGCACATTGAGGATTTTTGACGTTCGGGGTCCAAGGGTTCAGGGATGTGAGGTGTAGGGCTCAACGGTTAAGGGCGGATCCAGTTTTGAGCTTCAAGTATCCGAATTTAGGGTTTAAGGGCTCACGGTTTTGAAGCTGGTTGGAGTGCAGGGTTCAACAGTGTCAGTGTGGGGCCGCTGGGCTGAATGGGCCTAGGTTTCAAAGATTGAGAGGTCGGGGCTTGGGATATCGGGGTTTGAGACGTCCACATAGGAGGAGTCATGGTCTTAGAGAATCTTATTCAGGGGCTTATGATTCAAGCCTTTAGGGCAGCGATGAGGGCATGCCTGAAGATGAGTTTCCCCATAATAATGCTATCCCTTGTCGAGGGCCCTGTCCAGAGGCCCAGAATGTTTAGCAACACATGTGCAGAATCCTCCTCTGCCTGCAGGGACTGCGCCGATGGGGGGTTGAAAGTGATGAGGCCGTGCATGGAGATGGCAGGGGAAATCTGGGGAGAACAGATTTACAGGGGTGCCCTCTAAACCCTAAACCCTAAACCCTCTACAGCCATTCTCTAAAAGTTCGACTTCTCACACGGTTTTGCTTTGGAGCTTCAAGTCCTGTATTAGCGTTGGTAGTGGGCACACAGCTGCGTATATCCCAAAGTTAGCGGGTCTCTGTTTGTGTAATGCGGAGTATGGTGTTCTTCTAAGGGGGACCCCCAATTTCACATATAGGCTGTTCTCAAAATTATGGACCCCTTTTGGTTATGGATTATATATTACGGCACCTAATATTAGGGGGTGCCAAAATGGGACCTATTTTTGGGAACTACCCAAATGCACTTCTAACACAGGCCGAGACATCTGCGCTGCACCAGAGGACGGCGCTAAATAGGAGCCGGCTGCCAATGGCACTCCCTCACATCCCTACTATAAACTGTTATTTCTACCCCAACGCCCAGTTTTCATGTGATTCAGGCCCCTGAACCCTAAACTCGTAAACTCCAAAACCCATAAATCATTCAAAAACGACCACCCAAAACCCTAAACCCTGGAGCCTAGAGCCCCAAAAAACCCAAGCAGCTTCACCGTGCCAACACGGGAAGGCAGAAGATTTCCGCTTGAACCACATTCGTGCGAGAGAGCTCAAGGCGCCGATTCCATGGAGACTTTTGCAGTGCGTATTATTGTTCCAAGTGTCGTTGGTCTTAGTATGATGCTATTTCGTATTGTTAGCATGATACCTGCTACGGTTCTACTATGATTTTTTGCTGTCATCATTATCACCATTCTTGTTGTTATTGCTGCTGCCGCTGCTGCATTATTATTATTACTACTACTACTACTACTACTACTCCTGCTGCTGCTGCTACTACAACAACAACAACTACTACTACTACTACTACTACCACTGCTCCTGCTAGTAGTCCTCCGCCTCCTCCTACGACCACTACTACTAGTGCTACGACTGCTGCTACTATTCCTTGCCACTACTACCGCCACTCTCTCTCGATTCGCGCTTGCGTCTGCAACCATGCGTCCCTCAAGCCATACATGCCTTCCGCGAGGCGAGGCTGGTAACATCTCAGATGGACGTACCCAAGTTATATTGGGGATGTATTAGGGTTATATTAGGGTTATACTAGGGTTATACTGGGGATAATGAAAAAATGGAAACTACTATTTAGGAAGCAAAAAGGTGGCCCGAGCCGGAACTCCAAGCAGCCACTTGTCGACCCCAGCTGAAGCTCCCAGCAGTCAACACAAGCTATACAGGTCTCAAACAAACTCCAAGTGGAAGAACTTGCAGGTGCACGGCAAGATTCGTACCTGACACCAAGATTTTTATGTCAAGTTGTGTCTGCATTGAGCTCCAGCATGAAAGACGAAGCACTTATCTTTGTAGCATCGGCAGCGTGCAAGCCTCATCTAGGGTCAGCAGTGCATTTTGCTGATATTATGCAAGCACAGTCAGTGCGGACGGCCTGGAGCCATCGAATGTGATGTAAGGGGGGTCCACACAAAGCTTCCGACCCCCTCATGCCATAGGGAGGAAGACGCTCGGAGCCATTCTCATCCAGAGCAAAGACTTCTCCGCCTTTCCATACCGTCAATGGAATGACGATGTTCGCAGCCCGTTTCATATTGTGGCGTCGTGTGAACCATCGCCATCACATTGGATACGAGATTCACAGATGAAAACCACCACCACTATTGCTGGCGCTACTACTGCTGTTGTTTTCGTTATTGCTGTTCTTGTTGTTGCAATCGATTCAGTATGTCTTAGGTGGCAGATGCGGCCTTGAGGGTGCGTCAGAGTTGATGTATGGCCGTCCTGCAGTGTCGGCTCAGTTCATGCACTTCAAGCAGCCATGGGAGCCACATGGTCAGATGAAGGGGAATGGGAGGAGGAGTCTGAGGAATCAACTGGCGAAGGAATCACTAAGGGTGTTGGGACACTTTATTCCTTGCTTTCGGGGCAGGCTGTGTTCGAAGCTGAGGAAGCAGGTTATGAAGGGGTCTGGTGCGACAAGTGCGGCGATAACGCTGGCTTAGAGGCGGATCTTTACTGTATTGACTGTGAGGCCGCTTTTTGCTGGGGATGCTCCGGGCGTTGGCATCACCCCGGTGGATGTAACGAACTCCACTCGCTGGAAGTTATCGTCAAAGGAGAAGGGAAGGGACTTCGCATAGTCACTCCACTATTGGATGAAATGCTTATCTGTGTAGCTGCATACCACATCTTTGAAGGGCTTAAAGACTGCATCAATAGCCAGTATCTCTTCAGATCAGATATCTGCCCGGTGGTCCGCAAGCAGCAAGAATGGTTGGCTTGGGCCGACACGCTTGTGCTTCTGTGTTGCATTAAAATAGTAAGAACAATAGTAACAATAGTAATACCAGTTATATACAATACAGTAGTTTCGATTTCCACACCAACCCTAAACCCTAAATCCAAATTTCTGTTCCGATCATGGGTTCCATGTGGAAGACGTTTGTAGGGATTATTTCGGGGTTATGTACTGATTATAAAGGATTTCAATGAAATCTGGATACTGGGGTTATATAGGGGTGCCTTAACAGCAACCCAGGTTTTATCACTTCAAAGATGCTCTCATGCACAGCTGTAGCAATGAGGACAACTTTTGGAAACTTCTGCTGGATGCATGGGTCCGCACAGTTGTGACGGACTCAGACAGTTTGTTCCTTCTTCTGCGGACGCTTCCCAATGCCCTGCTGATCCATTATTTAGCCACAACACTGATCGTGCCTCCATTCGCCTTAGCCTACGCTTCACTGTTGGTTCTGGTTCGGAGTGTGGAATCCCGACTGCCCAGAAACAGATTCCTTTGCATCGTAGCCGCCATTGCGCAGCACGTGAGTGCAGCAAGTGCTCGGCTTGTGTCCTACAATATGAAAGCACCAATGCACACCAAACCACGACAGCGTCCGTCTCAGGATATTTGGGAATGCTGGACATACTGGACCGGCAGACAGATGCGATGGTTCGATTTCTACTATCGCTCTACGAAAGAATGTGCAACCCAACTCCTGGCGAACACCTTGCGCTGCGTGGTTATCTTCCGATGTCTGGGCATCTGCTTCGGCCTTGGACGTTTTATCCGTTACTTTCTTGACATGGTGGGCCTAGAGCAGACAATTGCAACACAACAGCTCTGGTTTGCCAGGGTTTACCACATGTTGGATACTGACCAACTGGTTTGGCGAGGCTTTGCTGGCACACTCGCTGTAACTGCTGAGCTTCTCCTGCGTGCTGACATCCGCGGTATAGCTACTTGCTTGCTTGGTTTGGCTGCCTTCATAGCTTTAGACGTGCTTTTGCGTGTTGGTGTTGTTCAGCGGCGATGGTTGCAACAGAGGAGGGTTCAGCGAACCGTGCTGCTTCCTATGTTGGTGGTCTTGGTGGCCGTGCCAACAGCTAGATGGGCATTCCTGGTCATCTACTTCGGTTTAGCTCTCCTACTGTTGTCTTTTGAGCGCCTGGTACGGTACCTGACAGACAAGCAGCAGCAATACTTCGAACAGCAGTGGAATGACACCTATCGAGATCTGGTGCTTGGGCGCTGCCCGTCTTATAACGGAGATGCGCCTTGCCCTTGTCCATGCACCCATGCAAGAGAGTCGAAATCATCTCGGCGACTCCCAAAGAAGGAGTGGCGCTTCCGGCTTCGATGCTTTCGCAAAAGGGCTTGGCGCTGCAAGCGGCGCCGAGCACCGCCCGCCGGCGCGAGTACATCAACTGATTCGGTTTCAGCACCGAGCGATACTGGACAATGATAGGTCAATCAAGTTCCACCCAGTGAAGAAGCCTCACCAGCTCCCGAGCCTTTCAGCGGGACCCTAAGGCCCTAAGGCCATCTAAGGCCTAAACCCAGAGCTCAGTTAGGGCATGGACGAAGGATGCTACATGCATCGGTGCTAATGCAACGTGTTCAGACAAAAGCATGGCATGTCGCATGCCTTCCTGTGAATTGTCGAGCAGTTTGTGAACCATGGCAACAGAGAATCCGAAATGCTAGGTGCTATATTGTACTTTGTTTGGAGGGGCCAGGAAACCAGGTTATTGCCTCACGTCACGGATCCTCCTACATGAAAGTTTCTTCAACATTGCTGCTCTATCATCCCTAGCAAGGACCCCCAGAATCCCTAAACCCTATAGTCCCCCTTAAGTAAATAGAATATGGGGTATTCGGGGATTTTATCATAATATACCCAGAGCCATATTCTATCTACTTGAGGGGGACTATCAACCCCCCAAAAAAGCGTTCCACAACGTCCTTCAAGTGAGTTGTTTCCTATGTATCTGGCATTTCACATGTTAGAAACTAAAAGATGCAGTGGATTTCCAGAAATTGAGGATCCCTTTTGGGGGTACCTATATATTGAGGTATACGAAGGTTCCCCTCTTTGTGACAGCTCCCATTTAGGAGACCAACCCGAATCTTCTAGATTAGGAAATTAGTGGGTAAGGGTTAGGGTTTAGGGTTTAGGGTTTAGGTTTAGGGTTTAGGTTTAGGGTTTAGGGTTTAGGGGGTAAGGGTTTAAGGTCTAGGGCCTAGGGTTGGAATTGCCTAGTAGGGACTGTAGGATGCAGCGAGGACTGCATACCGCAACCCTCAATCGAAAGGGCCCAATTATGGTCTAGTTGTAGGGTCGAAATGTTAGGGTTGGGTGCTATGTAGTAGCACTGATTATCGCAGAAAGGAGAAACGACGGTGCCACATAGGCGGCCGTGAGAAACCAGGTGTACAAGCGAACATATTATATGGGGATTATATGAGGTTATGCGGGGTCATAAGGCCATATTTCTTATAGGGACTATAGGGGTTATATAGGGGTTATAAGGCAATAGCGGGCATGGTTTCCCTAAACCAGCGCAAAACCAGCTTTCATGCCAACATCCTAAAACCTTTCAGATGCATTGGTGGTCTCTTTAAAGGGGTTCTAATCTGAGATTTGCTAACAGGACCGATTGATCCCTCACCCTCGGAGAGCTGAGGGTGTACGAAGGTTCTTGTCTTGATGAAATATGGGGGTTGCCCAAAATCAGGGTACCATTCTGGTGGTCCCCATAACAAGGATTGTAGTATGTTGTGTCTATATTGGGGGTCCCCCTATTTGTGGAAACTTCCATATGGTAGTTTCCCAAAATAAGGGGACCCCAGTATAGACCCCCAAATACTATAATCCTTATTATTGGGATCCCCAAAATGGTACCCCTAATTTTGGGAAACCCCCATATGTGAGGGTTCGTTCCTCAACTCAAAGTCGTGTGAGGAAAGATCTGATGCAAACTGGTGGATGTAGGGCCTGTGTCTCATGGGTGGTTGTCAAGATTATGGTCCCTTTTTGGGGTACCCTAAATATTAGGTACCGTGTTATAATAGGGATCTAAAAAGGGACCAGAATGTTGACAACCACCCTGATGGCTTTGCCAACAATCTTGAGATGTTTTTGTTTTAATTTCCTTCCGTTCTGTTTGTTTCGCATGAATCGAATCACAGGCCATGATTAGAACACATCTGCCATATTAATGACTGATAGGCATCTTGATAGGCTCCTATTGATTGGCGCACGGCCCTTGTTAGCGCCGTGAAAGCCTTGTAGATGCTGCAGCCTGCAGGTGGAGCGAACGAGGCAAAAGCTAGTTGACATTATAGAGAGACGCCTCTCCGCCCAGGCTGGGGGGGGCTTGCTGAAAATAGGACTTCCCTTAGGGATCGCAGGGGTATATGCCGATTTCACGGATTGATGGGGTCCCTATTGAAATATTTTGTAAGAAAGTGGGAGAGCTGCCAGGATGACAATGACACAAACATGACCGACCCGGAAGACCCAGATGATGCGGTTGTGGTAGTGGGGGAAGACACAGCCGAGAGGCTGGTTCTGGGCCTGTCGCTCAACGGCGTCCGGCCGCTTTGCAAGGTTTCGGGTGGTTGTGGGTTGAATTTGACAGATGAATCCACTGCTCTGGTGACCTCCGTGGCTCCTCGCAACGGCTCCTATGCCGACAATGTGGTGGTAACCATCACCATGACCAGCTCGCAGATGCCTAGTAGCTTGCAGGTGTTTTTTGGGGAGCATGAGTGCCCAAACCCCAGCATTACTGCTGGGACAACGGGGGCAAACAGCTGGGTGGTGACCGTGCCTCTCTGCCCTTTCGAAGCTTCGGATGTTCCCGTGTATGTCTTGACGGGTGCCGGCTACGCTGTGGGTGCCTCGCCTCATACAGGTTCAACTTTCCACTTCCAGCAGCTCCTCCAGCTTTTCGCCATCATGCCAGTCAACGGATCCTTCTTTGGTGGCACAGTAGCTAACATTAGCGGTGCTGGCTTCGGGCCAACGCCAGCAACAAACCAGGTCACTTTTGGCAAGAGGCCATGCGAAATTTTTGAAGCTTCGCACCATCACGTACTCTGCTACGTGCCAGCTGCGCCATTTGAACTCATGAATCTGGATCAATTTTAGGGATCCTTTATACTTTTTTTGGGTATGGGATTCCTTATGTCTATGTAAAAAGGATCCTTTTGTCTTCCTAGGATAATGTGGGCTAAGGAATGCTGATGATGCTGCAAGGACGCAGGCCGTGGAACTGCACGTAGTCACACCGTCGCAGCCGCGGAATGCAGGAGGGGGTTTCTGAAAGGTCCTTCGGAAGCCTGATAAATTGGGATGGCAAAGGGAATATGGGGGCCCCAGTAAGGTTTCTGTGCGGGTATAGTCCCCCTTAAGTAGATAGAATATGGCTTTCGGTATATTATAACAAGATCCCTATATACCCCATATTCTATCTACTTAAGGGGGTTGCAATATATACCCTATTATAGTATGGTAGATTATCGATTCCATGTTTTTTCCATCATTCCTATATACCCCCAGTTGTGAGAAATGCCCAGGACTGTGGGGAGAGTACTTCTTTTTCACTCAGGGCAGCACGCTGCCGAACTTGGACGACCGCACTCCAGATCTGCAGCGCGTGGACATGACGGTCAACTTCCCCAACACCAACGACAAGTGGGATGAAGGCCTCCAGTCTCGCTATCAATATGCCGCAAGGTGGACTGGTTACATCAGCATTCAGTTCACTGGCTTCTACACCTTCTTCCTGGGGTCTGATGATGGCAGTCAACTTTATCTGGATGGCGCCTTGGTTCTGGATAACGATGGCCTCCATGGGTTCCGGGAGCGTAGCACCACGGAGATGGTTCTTCAGGGAGGCAGTATCCATGCCCTGACGATACTCTTCTTCCAGGGTGGAGGAAACAGCGGCTGCGTGTTCCAGTACCAAGGCTCTGACACAGGCGGGAGGTTCCAAAAGGAACCTGTATGTAGTCCTAGGAGGGACCACGACAATCTTCGAAAACCACATTTCTTCATGTATCCTGGGGGTCTCAAGAAACAATTCCTCAGGTGGTCAGAAGATCGTCGTGCCCACGGCGGTGCTCACTCATGCAAGGTACCGGGACGCGCCAGTGCTCTCCTACCTTTACGATCGCCCGATCACTGCACCCACAATTGAGAACCTCACAGAGTCCTCTTCTCAGCTCACTCTGGAAGGCTACAACTTCGGTCCATCTGGGAGGGTTGCCATCGGGACGGCAAGCAATCCCACTACGAACTTCCAGTGTGTGCCAACAAGCTGGACTGAAGGAAGGGTTATCTGCGATCGTCAGGACCTGCCATCTGGATCCTGGCAGGTGCTGCTCCGAAAAGAGCCCCTACATATAGTCCCCTTTAAGTAGATAGAATATGGCTTTGGGTATATTATAGTAAGATCCCCATATACCCCATATTCTATCTACTTAAGGGGGACTATAATCCTGAATCAAGGGACCCTTCTAATCTACTTAGAACCCCTTACCTTGCTAGGATGTCTTGAGAGTATCTTATTCTGACAGACCTTGCCAGGTTCGATTGTACTCTGACACGGAAGGCTGGTCCAACCCTGCGCCCTACCAGCTCTGGGTACCATTGAACGTATCATCTGTTGAGGCAAATGACAATACTGTGGCCACAGATGCCCCAGAAGAGCCCTGGGTACTTGTGATGAAGCTGTCCGATGGGGGAATCCTGGGATATGACTCTGAGCTTTGGGGCAACGTGGAGCTCCTGAATCCAGATTCACCCGAAGGAGAGCCAATGAATGCCAAGTACCAGGCCTTCTTGGATGTCCCCTTCACTCGGCTGAGGGCCTGCGTTGCTGGGTTGCTGTCAAGGAACTTAATTTCACTTACTATATTGAGGCAACCATACTGATTACTACATATATATATATATACATACCCACTATGGTAACGTAACTGCCTCAAGCCTACACCCCTCAACCCTTACTGTACTATATGCCCATATGATGGTAACTGACTTTAAGTTCCTCAAGCCTGACCTAGGTCGGCACAGCACATGGCCAGTGTGTACACCACAAGTTCACTACACCCTGGTCTAGCGCTTTGGAGCTCTTCTCTGCAGGGTCTCTGGGTCCTTACAGGGGGCTCTATAGGGGATTATAATAGGAACTACTCTAGGGTTTAGGGTCTACACTCCTTAAAGGGCATTACATAGGGGATTATATAGGGACTTTTATAGGGGTTATCAAGGGGGATACTAGGAGTATAGAGTATGGCTAGTATGGGAGTTTCTCGAAACAGCATATGGCCAGCATTCAAGACCGGCGTGTAGAAAAAACATGAGTAAAGGGGACACACAAACCTTAGCAAGTCAATTGTTAGTGCTAGCTATGAGGGCAGGATGCCCAAGAGGATCCAGAAATCCCCATGGCGGCGCTGGTACCGCAGTAATCGCCAGGGGATGTTGTTGAAATGCCGAAAGGTGTCACGCGACCCTATTTGGACAATTGACGGCTAACAGGGGAGGGACCATTTAGGGATTTGAAAGGGAACTAGGATGAGGGTCGCCCTATGGCATTGTATACGGGGGCATGCTGAGAAACCCCCATGTTTCATGTTTTTGCGGAACACTAAATCTGGAAATTGATCCTCTCCTATCGTGTCCCATGACGGCCAAGCCAACGACCCAGGTACATCCGTGACCCTACCGTGGACCAAGCCGGTATGATTCAAGCCATGGGTGCAAGGCCTGGCAGTTACAGGACCTGCCCCATGCTTCTTCCCGGCTTTAATGTCATCTGTCCAGGAAACAATAAGGCACGCTGGGGTTTCTGCGCGAACTGCCCCTCCAAAACCTGCAGAGATGAGTCGGAAGCAGATGCTGCAATCGGAATTGGCCTCCGTGGAGAGGGCTCTTCTGCAGTTGGCGCTGGGTGGACTGACTATTTTGCTCCTGGAGCTGGAACGTGCTCAGCGATCAGCGAGACACATCGCAATGTGTGGCTGTGGGTCGCAAATGAGACTGCCCCAGCTCCCGCAGGAGTGCTGCACAGCGGTTTTGGCGGTGGTGTGAACCTGACAATCCGTGGGAGTGGACTTGGCTTTGCTGCTGCTCAAACCAAGATGTCGGTCTGTGGTGAAGACTGTCCTGTGATCACCAGCGATGGCACCTCTGCAACTTGCACTGTGCCTGCTATGACGAATCTTGATCTGGTAGATGCACAGCCAGATGCCTTCCCGACGGTGGACTTGGCACCGTTTGCCGCTAAGTTTTATACTGACAGGGGTGAGGCGGAGTCTTCGTATTCCCGCCTAGCCTTCACATCCACTGTAGACCGACAGGTAGATCTGCCCAACACCCGCAGCGACTGTTGGTTTGCTTTCGAGTTGCCACCGAGCAAAGAAGCCATCGTCACAGCTGTTGACTTCTTCCCTCCAACCGACCCATACCGGAGGCAGAAGGTAACTGAGACGGTGTTTGAGGTCCGAAGCTTTTCAGGAAACATCTCCTGGGAGGAGATAGGAAGTGTTCGAGGCACGATTCAGACAGGGCTGTCCATTGCACAGGGCTGGACTTCCTATCTAGTGAATGGCTCTGGACCTGATGGTGCTGCAATGGGCCAGGCCTTCCGAGTGCGCATCCTTCCTGATGCCTGCAGCTCCTTCGGTGAGTTGATGAGGGGCGTACGCTTCCGGGGAATTGTCCTGAACACCGGGAATGCAAGCGCTTGCCCCATTGAGGTGGAGCACGTTTCGCATCCCTTGGCTTCGGCTACAGGGGGATCTGCATGGCTTCCGGCACAGATGTCCTACAGTTTGGAGAGAACACCCATTGCATCGGCTCTAACTCCGCAGCGTGGCACAGCTCGAGGAGACACTCTGGTGACTGTGCTGGGTCAAGGGCTTGAGCCTTTGGATGCATCTGGGGCACCTGTGTCAGTGACATCGGCCAATGCGCAGATCATGTTGAACACCTACCCATGCGTTCCGGTGGAGAGCAACGCGACTGCGCTCAGCTGCCGCACGTCAGAGCGAAACAACGGCATCCAGCCTCCCTCGACAGTGCTGTGGTTGGCTGGAAGAGGATATGCCATCATCTCCGAACGCTCGGAGGACACCATCTTCAGGTATGTGGATAGGTGGAGCAACGTTTTCAGCTGGCTCGAGTCGGAGCCACCCGTTGACGGCGATAGTGTCATTGTGCCTGAAGGCCAAGCCATCATGCTCGACCAGGATTCGCCACAGCTGTTCCTCCTGCTCATTAGTGGATACTTCGAGTTCGACAGAAAGGATCTCAAGCTAGATGCAACCTACGTTTGGATCTCCGGGGGCACCTTCTGGGTGGGCAGTGAAGAAGCACCATTCCTTCACCAGGCAACCATTACTCTTCATGGAGACCGCTGGCATACCATTGAGCTTCCTGTCATCGGCTCGAAGATGTTAACAGTCACAAACCTTGGAGGATTCGGGACGTGTGCTGCCAACCATCAGATGAATCCGGGTCATTGTTAAGGAAGTTCAACTAAGCCACCACAATTTGAATCCATAGAAAGTGAAAGGGTTCACTATGATGGTTTTCTTCTGCAACCAAGGACTGTTCGGCTCTCTTCACGGGGAAAGCACTATGTGGATCCCTGCCCTGTGAAGCTGCAGGGAAGGCTGCTGGATCAGATCATGCTTAGGAAGTAGTTTGGATGTTCGGTTTCCAAAATTGAGGGTAATGGAAAATGAGATGCAGACTACTATAGTATAGTAGGGTACATATTAGGATATATAGGGAGAATTGAAAAGGAAATGGAAACTACTATTTGGGCTTTAGGGTAGCCCTCAACCTAGAATCTCCTGAATCTGAGACTCCAAATCCTAAACCCGCAAACCCCAAACCTTAACCCAAACTCCAAATTCCCAATGCACTAAGCCCGAAACCCGGAACAGCAAATCCATGGACCCCAAATCCTAAATAAAGGATGCCTGAACCTCAAATCCTGAAGCTCTAAGCCCAAGCCTTAAGCCGATAGAATATGGGGTATATGGGGATCTTAGTAAAATGTACCGAGAGCCATATTCTATCTACTTAAGGGGGACTATAACCCCAATATATACACTATTAAAATATTGTAGTTTCCAGTTTCTTTTCCATTATCCCTACATAACCCCAATAATATACCCCATATTCTGTCTACTAAAGGGGGGCTATAAACCCTAAACCCTAAACCTTAAACCCTAAACCCTAATCCCTAAACCCTAAACCTTAAACCCTAAACCCTAATCCCTAAACCCTAAACCCTATAGGCTTGAGCTGCATGGGAAGCCCGGTATCTCCTGGACACGACTTGTGGAGACAGCAGCTGGGCTAAGTTTAGGGTTTAGGAGGGTTTAGGGTGCAGGGATTATTTAGGGTTTAGGGTTTAGGGATTAGGGTTTAGGGTTTAAGCTGGAAATGAGGATTTCCCAAAATTACGGATACTTTTTTTGGAGGGTCCCCATAAGAAGGACTAGAGTATTTGAGGGTCTATAATGGGTCCCCCTTCTTTGGGAATAGTTTCGGGCTGGAGGTTTCGGGTTGAGGGCTTAGTTTTTTTTTTTTGCGGGTTTCTACGAAGATGGGGGCCCTACAAGGATCCTAGGGATATGGTTTAGGGTTTGCGGTTTTCGCTTTAGGGTTTGGGGTCTAGGATTTAGGGTTTAGGGTATGGGTTTTAGGGTTAAGGGTGTAGTGTGAAATGAGAAAGGAGATGGTAGAGGTTTCGCTGTAGGCTCTTTTGAGGAATACTCTTTGCAAGCTCCCATTGGAAGTTATTGAACGTACCCTGGCTCTTAGAAAGCACACAGAAGATATTTATAACCTTCAGAGCATAACACAGACTCCTTGTAAGCTGACAGAAGAAACTCTATTTCCATCCCTATAGACTACTTCAAGTTCTATTTGTACGGAGTAGCTGTAGTAGTTTCAACAGTGCTAGTGGCAGTGGTTGTAGTAATGTCAGTGTGATTCCAGTTGTAGTGGCAGTACCTGGCAGTAGTTAGAGTAACTTCTAGTGAGCCTAGGACTAGAAACATGACCCACCTCGAAGCTAAGGCGGATGCTGGCAGTACGATGCTGAAGCTGGAGGATCTCTGAATTGCTTTCTGCAGGGTTTAGGGCCGAAAGTTGGGATCCGCAAACGGACCCTTCACTAATCCTCCTACATGAGGCCCACAAGTCCCTAAGCCTGCAACGCCCTAACCCATAATCCATGAATCCCCATAGCAATAAGCTCCTAAACCTCCAAACCCCTAAGCCCCCAAAGCTTTTAGACCCCCCAAACCTCTAAACTTCCTTCAAAAAGTCCTAAACCCCCCCAAATCCCTAAGAACCCACCAAAGCCCTACCCTCCCAAAAGCCCTCAACCCTAAACCCAAAAGCCGTAAACCCTAAACTCACCAAGCTCAGAGGATCCTGTTGACTGGGAAGTGGGCACGGACATGATCATCTCACCATCCAACAGAGGGCAAGATGAGGCTTGGAGAAGCGTGGAAGGTTGTAGGATTTGGGGTAGCTCCCTACATTGGGGTACCCCAACATAGACCCCAAAATGCTACAAACCAAAGGAGCGACCACCAAAATCGTACCCTTGATTTTGGGGAACCTCCATTTCCAGTATTGGGGTTCTGAATCTAGAGGTCAGGGTTTAGGATTTGGAGCTTAGGATCTCGGTTTGGGGTTTAGGATTTAGGACTCTGGGCTTTGGGCTCATGATTTGGATGAGGGTCCTGCCTTTTCTGGGAGCTCCATAGAATGCCCGCTTTGCGGGGGGCTGTCAACCCTAAACCCTAGACCGCAGTCTGCACGATCCTTATGTTGTTGTGGTCTAATTATTGGTTGCGTCAATTCCCCTTACAGTATCAGTTCACACCATGGGCAATAGGAGTTATGAGAGCCCCGTAATAAAGCCCTTGAATGACAGTTACTGGGAGGGGGAGTAAACCAATCTATTGGGTTATTTTGGAAGAGGGCCGCGCTATGGCTGTCATCGGTTGGCATTCGGGTTTCGGGGATTGCAGTTGATCCAAGACATCCCGCATTTCTCCAATTATTTAGAATGACTGAATCGGAATTGCACTGGCTTTGAGGCTCGGTGCTGCATGATTTCGGGCATCAATGGTATCATGGCTGTTATAGCTACATACAACATTATGCATCTTGTTACTATTAGGGTTCAGGGCCCTACACTCTTAACCCTTCAATGTTGTTGTTCCCATTAATATCCTTATGTTTCCACATGCTTTCATTCCCATTCTGCACTATTACTTGGGTACTGCCCCCACTCAGTAACAGTTGGATAATAAGTATACTGTGGTTATATATAGCCCTTAATAGGACCCCTAATATAGACTGTTACTGGGTGGGGGCCGTACCCAAACTATTACTGTCAAGCTTATGTTCGCCAAGGTCACCAGGTTTCTCGTGGAACATCTAATTTGCCTCCTTCGTAACTTAAACCCCGCCCAGCCACATCATATAAAAAGTTCCCTATATATTACAATATACCACAATATGAATCTTTCAGATTAGGGTGGGTGGGGTGTTTTCATAGCACGGAGGGATTACTTGATATAGCATCTCTTTCATCGCAGCCCAGTCTACAGCAGGTGCGCGCGGTGAAAAGCATCCTGGACAATGGCGCGGCCCTTGGATCTTCACTGCTCCTCCAGTCAGTTGTATGGATTTAGGGTTTAGGGTGTAGGGGTATTCCACATTTCAACAGAGACATTACAGTTACCACTGCAGAGTAAAATTCTGCCGCTGTTATAGTGTGTTACAAGAACGGTGGAGTCATACGTGGTTAACCCCTAAACACAGGCCCCCAAACCCTAAAGAGTAGTTTCCATTTTATTATCCATTATCCAAATATATCCCCAATATAACCCCAATACAACCCTAATATACCCATTTATTTGACACTCATATCAGGCTTCCCCCCAAAAAGGGTTCCCTTTTGGGGATCCCTGAGATAAGGATGATACTTTTTGTGAGGGCTGCAAAAGTCGGACCCTACTTTTCGGAAACTGGGTTTAGGCTTTTAGGGTTTTAGGGTTTCAGAGTTTAGTATTTAGGGTTTTAGGGTTTAGGGTTTTAGGGATTCAGGGTTTAGGGTTTAATTAAGGCATGTTCTTGACATTGTTCTCAAGTTGGTTACTATAGGTTGCCAGCGCAGCTACATACCATTCCGCTGCATGATTTGACTTTCAGATTCGACTGTTACCAGGAAGTATGCAAGGTTTATCTTTGTTGTTCTTGCTCGGAAGGCTTCACAATCGAGTTGGACCGCCCCTTGCGATTCGAGCACTTGGGCATTTGGCCTGGGGCTTAGCACTGCGATGCTTTCTACTGATATGGCAGGTGGTCAACATTTTGATCCCTTTGCGGTTTCCCGTTAGATCACGGCCCCGAACAGTCCTCCCTGAGCCCCTAATCCCTAAACCCTGAATCCTAAACCCTGATCCCTAAATCCTAGTAGCACAATGGGACGACAATTTTCGCAACCTACCATGTGCATGAAGATGCTAGGAGTGCTGCTCGATAGGAAAGATACATTGTGGTAAATTCAGAACACCCCAGAGTCGTTGCAGAACAGTCACCATCGCAATTTCCGAAAACAACTATGGAGCATGATCACAGCAATACGCAACTGTAAGAACGATAAGAATGAGAGCCGTACTGGTCATCATGATGACAACATGGCAGTCGCACGTACCCGGCAGGTACTTCAATGATGAAATTCCCACCCCCACGGATCTTCGCCGGAGCCTCGTTTCAGCATGTACCTGACGCGAGTAATGGATCTTAAGCGATAAGCGGCATTTGCAAAGATTCCATTGGGATCTTGAAGAGGTCTCTGAAGTAGACATCCTTGCTAGCCGCTAGCACTTTCCTTACCGGCGCTGAAGGGAGAGTGGGGAGTGGATCCCCACAATAATCCCTGTATCATGCCCATATGGGGGGTCTACCAATATTAGGGGTATAAGGATTGTAGTATTTTGGGGTCTATACTGGGGTACCCCTATGTTGGGAAACTACCATATATACACCTAGAATAGTACCTACCCTCCAATCCCCCTGAAGCACAAGCAAGCTTGCCTGGTGTCAAACGCTTCCTTGGTTTGAGCCCCAGAGAAGGCCACACAGGTAGAACACCTTTTCACCAAAAATCCCTGACTGTTCACCACAGCATCCGCTTCTAACCCCATACATACTAGGATCATTCTGGCCTGTATTAAGAAGGATCCTAAACTTTACAACCCCAAGATAGAAGTTTCCATTCTCTTTTCCATCGTCCCACATAGAACCCCGATATACCCCGATAGTAGTTTCCATTCTCTTTTCCATTATCCCATACATAACCCAAATATACTCCCTATATAACCCCTATAATCCCTGTAGTTTCCATTTTATTTTCCATTATCCCTATATAACCCCAATATAGTAGCTTCCATTTTCCCTGTATTCGCCTGTAGATCAAAAAGCGCCCGGAACTCCGGTCAAGCACTCCTTCGGGCCTAGGGTTGACATGGCCATCGGCTCAGATTTATTATTGCTATTATCACTCTTGTTAGTATTATTCCTACTATTATTATTACTATTCTTATTAATATAGTTATTGCTACGAGCTATGCA